GGTGTTATGCATATCATGGTGGTTGGTGGGACGAATCATTGCTCAAGAGGAGTGTATGTGATTTATCCGTACTCCATTGTGGAGAATGGTGGGGATAGATCATGGCCAAGGACGGGTGTATGTGATCTATCCGGGGTTCGATTGAATGAACCAATGAGTCGGTACCGCATGCATGGTGTTGAGTTGCATAATTGCATTATGGTGTGTTGTGTTGATGTTTGACAGTAGGTCGTGTTTGATGAATGTTGGGTGATGAATGATATGATGACTACCTTTATTTCATGTACTGTATTACCGATAATTTTGATCATGTTTTCTCACTCCTTTGTTGTTGTTGTGGTCTGTGCTTCTTCGGAGGTACAGACAATCCAGGTACTTAGCTAGCTTGGATAGTGGTGTGCAAGTCGAGTCTTAGGATGCTCTGATACGTAACACGGGGACTTTGGCGTTTAATTGCTTTATGTTGAATTGTTTTATTTCCCGTGACGTATCAAGTTTGGTGAACCTTTTAATGAATGTTTTTGTGTAATTTGGCGGATGGCCGTGAATGTTGACTAAGGATGAATTCCGCTGTTTTATTTTGAAAACCATCTAATGATGAGTATGCTGAATTATTTGGATATGATATCCCATTTTTGAAAGGAAACTCTGATATTTATTTGATTTAATCGTATTTCATTTTAATTTGGGAAAGTGGGGTGTTACACCTTTGACGCTCATTGTTTAAACTCTATAGAAAAAGTGAACCCTGAGCCATGAAAAAACCTTGGTCCCATGTCTCGAAAACCAATGCCATGATATGCGAAAATGCAAAATACAGAGAAACACAAGCCAATTACAGATAAAATGACAGGGCAAATTTTAGGGTGCTACAGCTGCCCCTATTCAATCGACTTGGACTTGAAGGTATGAAAAACAACCTCTTTCAAACATTCAAGGTAAAAGGTGATTGAATACAAAAAAAGAACCCAAAAATTTGTACTCCCTGGGGATGTATAGAGTAAAGAGATTGTCAGCCGAAGGTGGACTTAAAGATACCGGGTACCAACCAAAAGTTGAGATAACCAAAGGATACAATATACCAACCAAAAATTGGGATAGCAAGAGATAACAATTAAGAAGATACTATCACCACTAAATAATTCAGGCGGAAGCAACACTTGAGTGACCTGATACTCTAGATCATTGATATTCTTGTTGGTTATTCTCTAATCTTTGACGAGGATGTTGAGGAGACCTTTAATAGGAGAATTCTGAGGAATTTCGTAATCGAAATCCTCTAAAGTCGAAGGCTCTCCTTAATACACTGGTTGACTTTGAATGACTTCTTTGATTTGGGAGGTTTTTGGATTAACACTCCATTTTCATTAGTATTCACATCTTCCTTAATGCGTCGTTTCCTATCATTGTAGTATTTTCCAAGGATTCCTTATCTTTAGCATTGAAGCCAATGTGCCCCAATATTTACATTATCAAGTCACCCTATGGCAACCATATAATCCCATTTCTCTTGTTCCCCATCATGTGATGGATCACTGGACTTGCCCAATTATCCTCAACCTTGTTAGTCAGTAACCAAGTTACGACATATGCAAATAAAAGGAAAAGAGAACAAGAGAATATATGATGAATTGAAACACTAAAGTAGTGCACACAAACTCTCAAAGAATATTTGAAGACAAATATAATTAGAGGAGAAGAGAACAACATATGAGATAAAGAGGGAAAGGAACGAATTATCTTTTATAAGCTCGATCTTATCAATTATATGAGCTTCTAATCGATTATAGTAATTAATATAATTAACTTTGATGATTGATTGATGGCAGCGATCGTCCTAGGGTCATTTAGTTCATTATGCCCTTATACTTAATTGATCACAAGGCACAAATTTTGAATTTCCCAAGTGCGAATCGATTAGCTCTTTAGGGCTAATCGATTAAATGTACATTTCTAGCCTTTTTTGATCTGTTTGGGCCTTAGACGAGCTTTGGACTTGACTCCTTCTTCTTTTTGCACCCCTTTCTAATCAAATTTTCACATCTTGCTCAATTTCTTATTTCGGCTTAACACCCTTTGCGTAAACTTATATTTACATCAAACCAAAATGTTAGAATAAAATGAATTTACTTAGCACATAAATACTACTTGCTAGAGGATTTAATTGAGGCTTTCCGATTTTTTATTCTCTATCAAGTATTTTATCTCAAATTTTCAAACACTTTTTAAGTCTCCCCCATTGAAGAGAGTCACATAACGCCGTCGATTTTCCATCTCTCAAAATTGCTTGATACGAGAGTTGGTTCATACATCTCCAATGATGATAACTTTGAAAAATACTTTTCACAATAATTTTTTCAAAAAGTTCCACAACCATCAAAATCAACAAAACCATCTTTTGATGGAACCTTTAAACTCATGATTTGCAAAACTTTTCTTAATTTTCAATTAAGTCCTCGAAAGTGCAAAGCATTCATGCAAAAAAAATTGACTTTTCACATTTGGTACTAAAATCTTTTTGTGTCTTTAAATGTTAGAAATTTTAAGAGGTATTGAGAAATTTCCATTTGACCATCCTAAATCATACAATTTCGAATAACATAAAGCATATAAATGACCAAGCTTATTATAATACTTACATTTAAACACAAGGCAAATAGATTTCCTCCTATCAAGGCAAATGCTAATGAAAAATTCATTTGGTTGATACCCTATCCCATTCTTATTATAGCAAACTTTTTGATCAGACAAAATTAAATCCAACTTATCGTTACCATTATATTTAAGTTTTAAAAATGTGTGCAATTGAATTAATTTGTTTTACAATTTTTTTTAGACTTGAAAAAAAATTATCAAAAAGTATTTGTTATTTTATATCTAACTCCCGAATCGAACCCAACCCATAAATGACCGAGTTAATTTAGTTTGATTTTGACAAGAAAATTTGCAGGTTAGATAATGAATATAATTCATTAAAATTTGAATGAATTGGATAACAAGTTAGGTCAAATCGGTCCAACCTAACTTGCAAATGAGTGAGTTGGATCAATTTAATTTTGACAAGAAAAATTGCATGTTAGACGATAAATCCAATCAATTAAAAATCTAAATGAGTTGTATAACAAATTAGATAAGATTGGTCCAACCCAATCAATATATAATCCCTAATCACCATTTAAATATAAATCCATAAATCTATCTAACTTATCAATTTTTCTATCCCTAAAAATAGAGCTTATCCTATCCCACAACATAACAACGGACTAACAAAGCTCAACTATAGATAAGTTTTGTGAACATTCATAATTTTCTTCTAAAAAAAAGTTACATCAAGTGCTTTAAATATAATAATTATCTCTAATCGAGATAAATTGAGAAATGTTTGTAACTCACATAATTTTTGCCCATATGTGTTTAACTCACATTGCCAACGCAATATGTTCGTAAATATTTGAGTTAATGCTTTTCCAATCTTAGTGCATATTCTGTTTTTAGTATTAGAAACTCAACTCATTTAAATAATATTTTCATTAAAAAATGTAAAATAATAAAAAAAATAAAATTAATAAATACATGGTAATAAATATAGATTTTCTAGGACCAACCTATTACTCTATTATACATTCGGTCGTGAATGTTAGATTCAAATGAAACGATTTAAATTTGAATATTTTTTTAATTATAAAATTTAAAATATTGTTGGGTCAAATTTTTTTTAAAATATTGTTGAATAGACTACTTGATGACATTAGACAGTCCATATTCCATGTAACATTAGCACTGTCTAATCAAAAAGCGTAACCAATTTCGGAATTGTCAATTGTAAAAGGAAAGAAAAGGATGAATGGTTATACAGCCAGGTCATTATCATGGGACTTCACTATGACACTGTATCCTATCAATACCCAATACCCAACCATCTTGGTTCAACCAAACCAACCATTTTAACTGCAAAAACGGTTCAACCAAACCAAACCCAACCCAACCCAACTATTCCACAATAAAACAACACAGAACAAACAAGCTCCGAAGTCAGAACAGAAGCTACTACTACCTACTATCCTACAACGAGAGCAGAAGAATGAAGGCACCGAGAAAAACTAATTGATTCATTTTCATTACCTCAAAATAACAACAACAGCAAAGGGTAAAAAATTAAAACACATTCAACAAGTGTTACTAATATTCTTCTTGTGTTTGGTTTTAATCATTGATTATAATAATATACGATCCGAATGTTATGTTATGTTATAATGTTATAATGTTATCCCCATCATCATCCTTTGTTTTCAAAAGTTATTATCGAATCATGCGTGAAACTCAAACCGATTTTCTATTCCTTTTATTTTATAATTTAATATCAATAACAATTACAATAACAAAACTTTATCATTCTATTTTTCCTTTCTGGTTTACTGTTTCGTCAAAAAGGTTAATAATCAATAATCAAATCCCAATCGTACGTACGTGAATGTTTTTAATGTTGGTTTTTTTAATTCCAACAACATTTTTTTCTTCGGTTTTTGGTTATACTTTGACTCTTTGTTTGTGGACTCTGCCAAAAAGCCTCTTCCTGATTTTTATTTAATTGTTATTTTCAATTCATTTTATTTTTCTAATTTTAAATTTTATAAATTAGGTTTTTGGTTTCGTGAATGATAGATACATAACGATTTCGTATCTTAGGGTTTCTCAATATCCTTTCTCTGAAGCTTTTTCATCACAGCGTCGATTTTCGTTCTGATTTCTTTGCCAATCGGTTGATTTACTTCGTTTTGACCGTTTCGGTTGTTGATTTTTCTTCAATCGTGTTTTTTTTTGTTGTTATCCCCAATTTCTGGGGTTTTTTAAAGCAAAAGGGGTTAAACTTTGATTATTGGTTTTGTTCTGGGTGGATTTGTAATATTGGGGAGTTGTTTTGGTGTTATCAGTAGGGTTCATTCAGTTTTGAGAAGTGTTGTTACTGTGTTTTTGGAGGAGTTTGGCTCTGTTATGCATGTATGATGTTGCATTTTCAGGGTGTGTCAAGACATTGTAGTCTCCTTGCTGTTCTTGGTAGTAAATCACATGACAGTAAACAAAAGCAGCAGCAGGATACTGTTTCCGAGGATCGATTTTCGTCGTATCCCTTTCCGGAGCTTTCTTCGTCCGGGCGGCTCGAGGTGATAGCCGCGTTTCTATTTGTATACGATTTTGTTTTTATTGTCGCAGGGAAACTTTAATCTGAAGTGGAATCGCAATGCGACGTTTTGTGATTTCAGGTTAGAGTATTGAGAAAACCTAGTTTCGATGAACTCACTCGGGTTTTAGAGCAACTGCAACCGGATTTTGTTTACCTGCAAGGTCAGCAGGTGGATGATAAAGGAGAAATTGGGTCTATTGTGTGGGATGATTTTGACCTTTCTTCCCCGGAAGCGTTGTGTGGATTATTTTCTTCCAAATTACCTAATACTGTGAGTGTTTTGCGGATAATTTTCTTCAGCGACTGTTTGACAATTGGCTTGTTAATAAAATGTTTGGATGCTAACCTAGTTTGTCGTATTTTTGTAGGTTTATTTGGAAACTCCGAAGGGCGAAAGGTTGGCAGAAGCACTACATTCCAAGGTTATATTGATTGCAGGCAATCTTTATGTTTTTTATTTGTTTAGGTTAGATGTGAAAAGTTAGATGTGCTGGCTTAGAGTAATTAATGAGATATCGGTCAAACTAGGGTGATAATGACGACTTAAAAGACGCAGCTTTATATGATTTGGATTTTTAGGTTCCTTAACTAATGACACCTAATTATTAAACATTAGGTGTTTTTGTTCGGCAGGGAGTTCCTTACACTATATACTGGAAAAATGAATTTTCAAACTATGCAGCTTCACATTTTCAACAAGCTTTTTTCTCAGTGGCGCAGAGGTATTAGTCATCTATCATCTTTGTCGTCATGCTTTTTAAATATCAATGTTACTGTCCAGTGTTGTTAAATAGCAGCATTATAGAGATACAACAGCAGAATTTAAAGCAATCTCTTTGGTTATGCGATACACTATTTAGTAGACAATGTTGTCAAATAGCTGCTATAACAGAGTTTTAACATATCACTATTGCTCTGCTGTACGCATGCTATTTAGTAAAAAATATTGTCAAATAGCGGCACTATAGCGCTATTGGGTAGCAGACTTTGAACAAATTGCTATTTTATGCTATCACCACATTTTTCATTTATTACTTCAGCTTCCACCAATGAGTCTATGACATGAGAAGTGTGGCGGCAATAAAATGTTTAATAACTATAATGTGCCTGCTGGGCAAATAGTTTTTGTTAATGATAATTGGTATTATGCATTGTATTACTCATCTACCATCTTTGTTGTCATGCTTTTTAAATATCAATGTTCCTGGCTGGTGTTGTTAAATAGCAGCATTATAGAAATACAACAGCGGAATTTGAAGCAATCTCTTTGGTTATGCGATACACTATATATTAGAAAATATTGTCACATAGAAGCTATAGCAAAGTTTGAACAAATTGCTATTGTTCTGCTGTACGCATGCTATTTAGTAAAAAATATTGTCAAATAGCGGCGACATAGCACTATTAGGTAGCAGACTTTGAACAAATTGCCATTTTGTGCTACCGCCACACTTTTCATTTATTACTTCAGCTTCCACCAATGAAACAATGACACGAGAAGTGTAGCGGCAATCAAATGTTTAATCACTTTAATGTGTCTGTCTGCTTGTCAAATATTTTTTCTTAATGATAAAAGGTATTATGCATTGTAGTACATCCAGCCATACATGGGATGCTTTCCAACTTGCTCAGGCATCTTTTAGACTATACTGTGAGCAAAACAATATCGTGCCCCACAACAGTCGGAAGGGCAGTGGTAAGCTTGGGCCACAAGTTCTTGGGGAACCTCCTATCATTGAAGTTAGTCCATGTGAAGTAGACACGAAGGAAGAAGAAGAAGAAGATTCACCAGGGTCTAGTTCTTCTATAAAGATATATGATGATGATGTGAATACAAGATTTCTTGTTTGTGGGTTTCCCTGCACATTGGTAGGATTGGATACCTTAGTTTATTAGTTTTCGAGAAGTTTGTTATTGGTAATAGTTCTTACAATGAGACTTACCTGTTATAAACTGATTTCATTTCATCTCTTTACTGTTAAAAAGGATGCATGTTTATTGGGATCGTTAGAGGATGGACTCAATGCTCTCTTATGTACCGAAGTAAGTTTGTTGCGTATTTTTGTTTGCATTTCATGGTTGATTTGTTATTTCCTTTTGGGTGCTAAGCACAAAATTGCAATTTTCCAGATAACTTGTTATGCAGCCCTTTAAACAATTGTAGTAATTGTTATAGGCGCTAATTGTGGTGAAAATTATGCATTTTTTCCCTTAATCAGAAAATGTCAAATTGAATTCAACTTTCACTATTGATAAAATAGTTGAGTCTTATTGCAATCTTCGTCATGTTGAGACAATGTAATCTACATAATACTTGAGGTATTTGCATGGATAAATTCAGAACAAGTTTCATCATCATTCTTGTTCCTAACTGGGACCAGCTTTCACAATTAACAAACCCAAAGAAACTATCATAGAAAGTCTAGATGATGATGTCTATGTGCTGAAAGATGTAATGGTGTTTCCTTAAATCATTGGAATAATAAAAAACTGGCCTTTCCCTTCATAATTTATTGATTGTATATAAGTGTTGTATTTAATGTTTTTTAAATCACTCATGTATATTTTTCTGTTTTCGCTTTGGCTTTTCCTTAGATACGTGGATGTAAACTTCAAAGTCGGACAAGGTATTTAGCATTTTCAAGTGTTGATACTTGTTTTAATATGTTTTATCCACTGCAACAATATTCTTTGAATCTTTCACCTGCAATCTTATTCTGTTTGTTAATTTCGGTTACTGTCATAAATTTTATAGTGCGCCACCACCACCTCTCCAAGCAGGAACATTCTCACGTGGCGTGGTGACCATGCGTTGCGAAATATCCACATGCAGTTCTGCTCATATATCACTTCTAGTGTCCGGTAGTGCAGATGCCTGTTTCAATGATCAGGTACATGTGAATTGTATTCTTGATGTTTGACTTTTCACATACTTGCTTTTTAACTCTTTACTGAGTACTTTTTTCTCTTGTGTATTTCTTCAGCTTTTGGAGAATCATATCAAGAAAGAACTCACCGAGAATAGTCAACTTGTCCAGGCAATTCCTGGTCATGAACAAAAGAAATTATCTTCATATGAACCTCGAAGATCAGCCTCAGTTGCTTGTAGATCTAGTGTGTTTGAAGTTTCTATGCGTGTTCCTACATGGGCTTCGCAGGTTTGTTAAAAAATTTTTCCCCTCAAGGTTTAAAGCATGTTAAAAATTGTTTTTGATCAATCAAATGGTTAAGTTGAAATTCTTTCCCATTGATAAAAAAATTGTCTAGTTCAAAGTTCTTCCTCCTGTTTGTCAATATAACAGCTTACTTGCACAAACTTGTTGTGAATGAGAAAAAGATGTATGAATTTGCAAGATGCTAAATTGACGTTTACTATTTAATGACTTTGTAGGTGATATGCTGCACAACTAAATAATTTATGTATAAGTTGCACACTTCATGAATATTTTGGATACATGTAGCTTCCTTTTATAATATTTTCCTTCTAACATTATACCAATACAAAATAGCCACACTTCTGTATTTATATAAGTTTACTTTCTTCAAGAACTTTTTCTATTTTATTGATAGCTTGGTATTTGTTCACAGGTTCTAAGACAACTTGCATCAAATATGTCATATCGCTGCCTAGTCATGTTGGGAGTAGCTAGTATTCAAGGATTGCCTGTTGCATCCTTTACTAAAGATGATTCAGAACGTCTTCTTTTCTTTTGTACTAGGCATAAGAAAGACAACAATTCCAAAGACATCGTTTTCTCAGGTCATCCTAGTTGGTTGGTGCCTCCCGCACCTAGTCGAAAAAGATCTGAACCAGGCTCTAGTTTAGAAACTATTAACGCTAGCGGTATGGAAGTTGAAGATATTTGTAGCGTTAGACAAAAATTAAGTTTTGCTGCAATGAGGCCAATCCCTCAATCTCATCGTCAAAAGGTTCTCCCCTTTTCTGGATTTTCTGAGGGAGAAAGATATGATGGCGACCATGGAAAATCAAATCAGCTTCTTGTTCCAATTAAGCATAATGGTTTAGGTCCTCATTCAGCCACAAACAGGAAATCAGTGTCAAACGCGTTTCAAGCTCACCAGATAATTTCTTTGAATCCAATACCGATGAAAAAACATGGTTGCGACAGAGCTCCAATACGAGCTTGCTCAGAGGTGGTTTCCTCACATAATGCTTTTGTTGATGTTTTCCATCTTCATTATTGTCGTGCATCCTATCACAGGGTTATCCATATTGTTATACTATACATTTTATGTCAGATCTAATTCATTTATACTGTTTTTTTTTTTTTGACAGGAGGAATTCCTGAAAGACGTAATGCAATTTCTAGTCCTTCGAGGGCATACTCGCCTCATTCCACAAGGCGGGTTTGCCGAGTTTCCTGATGCCGTTCTGAATGCTAAACGCCTTGACCTTTTCAACTTGTATAGAGAGGTAAGACATTTTGAACTTGTGAAGGTTACTGCATACTGCATAGTATCGGAGACACTGTATCTAAGATGCTCGAGTATTTTAGGTTGTTTCAAGAGGAGGCTTTCACGTTGGGAATGGTATCAATTGGAAAGGACAAGTTTTCTCAAAGATGAGCAATCACACTCTGACACACAGAATGACAGTATGAATTCCATTCTTATTTTTTCTGTTCCTCAGCAAACATTTGTTTCCATTATTTATTCGCACACATGAGCTGAAGTCACTTTCCTAAATTTGGCCCAGAATTTTACTCTCTCTCTACCTAGATAATGATACATGTTTAGTTTTACCAGAATAGGTTTTTAGTAATCCATTCCTTATTTGGTGTCTTGTACCTTTTCTTCATGTGGATTTTGGGCTATGTTTACAGTAACATGTTTTACAAAGTGGAAAGTAAAATAAAAACTTGGCAATTTTCTGCTTATTTTTTCAAGTTTTATGAATAAGTTGAGGGAATACTATTTTCTTAGTTGCAATTTGAAAATGGCACTTTTGTGATTATACTACTTTCACATATTTGGAATATCAAAATATGTATTAAAAAATGTTAAAATTTATAACATCTCTTTGCTGTAGGGTGTTGGCAATACACTCAAGAGGCATTACGAAACATATCTTTTAGAATATGAATTAGCTCATGATGATGTAGATGGAGAATGCTGCTTATTGTGTCACAGGTCTCTTTCTCTCCCTCTCCCTCTCTATTTGCGCTTACACTTTTCTTTTGAAAGTTTCAATGTTCTGTCCTTTTGACTGTAATTTACCTTTCATGTTGTGGCAACAATAGTAGTGCAGCAGGTGACTGGGTGAATTGTGGTATGTGTGGTGAATGGGCTCATTTTGGCTGTGATCGGCGGCAGGGACTAGGAGCATTTAAGGTATTAATTGACAATATTAGCCTATTGCTTCTCTTTCTTTTATATGAAATGAAACAGATAAAAACAGAGAATAATTTTACAGCACTTAGCATTTTTCTTCTTCGCATATTTACAAATTGGTAACTGGACGAGCATACAAGAGAATGAGATGGAAATTTTATGTTGTTTTTAACTCTATGTTGAATGGCAGGACTACGCCAAAACTGACGGGCTCGAGTATGTTTGTCCGCACTGTAGCATATCTAATTTCAGCAAAAAAACGCAGAAAACTACAAATGGTTATTAACAGGGTTACACAATGCTGTTCCATTCCCAGAGCCAATGTACATGGCTAGTGTTAACAAATTTTCTTCTATTTGTGTTTGATCCTCAATTGGGAAATGTAGGTTTTTAGGAGTGCAATTGTTTCAGTCTTATTAATTATGATTTGGAATTTTGACTCATTATATATGGCCACAAAAAAGGGCCATCATAATTTTCTAGCATTACTAATATATAATTCTCTAGAGAAAGAAGTATAGGAAAATATTTGTATATTGAATGATTTTCCTCAAACTCAATTAGTTTAATTAAGATGCAGAGATTGCAATATATTCCATATTGCTGCTGGTATTGTAGTTAAATGTTATATTTTCTTATTTTATAGCTTTTTAAATTTTATTATCTTGTTGAATTGGAAGAATCAATTAAACTATGATTCAGATTACTTGGTGGTTCAGTTTTTGATTTGGTTTTGTACAACATTGGTGTAAACTTAAAACATAAAGAAGAAAATTAGCAGCATTCTGGTATGTCTTGTAAGTAGTCTTAAAATAAATCAAATATAAATAAGATATAATTAGGGTTGGAAATAGACTGGGCCGAGTCTGATTTTGCCAAGTTTAAGTCTGATCTGTCAAAAAAATTGAAGTATGAGCTTGGTCCTTAGTTTGTCATATTCTTATTTTTAAGCTTGAATCTGACATTTTTTAAGATCTGATTCGCCTGTTAATCTACATAAAAGTATTTTATTTTAAATAGACTAACAAATTAAAATATTAATGAGTCTAAAAATTTGTTTACATCGACTTATTTTAACTTATCTATTAGCATAAATTTTGTGAGATTATTTATTTAAGATAATTTATAAAAATAACTTATAACATTGTTTATAAAGTATTTTCATAAGTTCTTTAAGATAACTAATTTTTATTTATGTATTTTAATTTAAAGTACATAACATAATAATAATAAAAAATTATTCATATTTATTTAAATAGGTTGGTCTGTTAGAATTAAAAGGTTTTTTTTTTCATAGCTTGAGATTTGAGTTTTTTAATTAGATAAGTTTATAAAAAAGTTTAGATCTTTTTTATTTAAAATAAAGTTTGATCTGATTTGAGTCTGTATAGATTAGATGCGTAGATTTCTGTTATCGGTCTAACTTATTTCCACTCTTAGATATAATGATAAAATTGGTGTGGATTAAAACAACGTTTTAAAAACAACACCGAACTGGTTGGATCGGAAAACGGAGTTGAATCCCGTCCGATCAACCATTCAAAACTACTAATATAATGATTATAGATTGCAGATGAAATGATAAAATTGGTGTTGGTTAAAGCAATGTTTTAAAATCAACACTGAACTGGTTGTTTAATTGGTTGGACCGGGAATCGGAGTTGAATCCCGTCCGATCAACCATTCAAAATTACTAATGGGTCAAAATCAAAGTAAAAATGGAAAAATTAAATTGAACCTTTCAAAATCGTTTGAATCAAAGAATCGAAGTCGATTTTGTAAACTCGTCCAATTCAAATAAATATATCAAATTGATCATTTTAATTTATTTTTTTGATAAAATTTATGTCAATATAAAAAATTAAAACATTTCTCAATAATAAAAAAATTCCTTATTTTTTTTATAACCATACACACTTTTAACTTTTAAATTCTATCACTCTCTTATATTTTTTTAAGACTTAAATGCAATTTTAGTTTCTCTATTTCAGTTTTTATGATTTTGTAATCCCTTTAAAAATAAAATCAAATTTCTTTTATTTCTTAATTTTTTTTGTGGGCTCCTCCAATTTTGTATTGTTGATACCTGAATTTGTGATGGTAGATCCTATGTGGTGCTGCGTCACTTTTTTTAATAAAAAGATCATAGTTTTATTTAATATAATTATTAATTCAAGTAATGTTTATTAAGTTATTTAGAGTATCTCGTGTCAATGAATCAATGGTTAATTTGTAAAATAAATTTAGACATCATTCAAACTCAAGCCCTTTTCCATAAAGACCAACTCCCTTATCATCAAAGCTATTCAACATTTGTGCATAAACCATTTCATTCCCCCATCTTCGCTTTAGCATTTTTGTGCATAAAAGACAATACATGTCGTATATAACATTGCTTTAACCTCACAAACTTTGTGATTCTTTAACTGATTTGCAGTTACAGCAAAATCAACTTGAATATTGTTTAGGAGTTTTCACTTAAAACACATTTTCACTGAACCATATTAAATTAATGGCGCCACTCTGAAAGCACTAATCTTGGCTGCGACATATCAGACTTGTCATTAACATATCCATAATTTAACATCAAATTTTCATTGTTGGGAAGCATGAGAAGTATAATATAACTGTGCTAACTAACACAAACGTGATCTAAATTCCAAACTTTAAACTCCCAAGTCAGTGCAAGGAGAGATATATTTATTAAAAATTAATTTTTAATTAATGTGCAACTTATTTCTTTTTCAACATCTTCTCACTCACACATGATCAACTCTAAACTCACGGAGTCAAATACAATATTGAATAAGTAATTCAATAGCCACTGCACATTCTTTAATGTTGTGAATCAATATCATTATGAACAAATCAAAATATGAAAAAGATTGAGTTTTTTAAACAAACGCAAGAAACCCTATTAGGTTTTACAAAAAGGGAGAAGAAGGAAGAAGAAGAATCAAGATTGGTTATAACTGTTTTACTATTCACTTTCTCAATAAGAGTTAAAAGGTTACAAGTGAATAACAACATTTAACCTCTCTCAACAACCTGAGAGAACTAGTCTATTTATAAACTAATAAACTAACTTAACAATTAAGCTTACAAGCAAGACCAAATTCGACATGCTAACAATCCTAACATTTCGACTACTGCATGCTTGAGCATACTTTGACTATAGCATATAGGATCAACATGTGAACAGACTTTGACTACATCCTAAACCTTTGTCGAACCATGAAGCTATCCCATCGACACTAGAATTCAATCCAAAATACCACAAATCTCCACCTTAGAACAAACTCTACACTAACAAGGGAACAAACTAGCTTTCATCATGCAACTTTATCAACTACATACAGTGGAAAAACTTGTTACTTAGCAATGTCTTGGTGCTCATATCAGCAACACTGTCATCAACCGAAACCTTCAACATTTGGATTTTTCCACGCTCGATTATCTCTTTGGCGAAGTGCAACCTCACATCGGTGTGCTTGGTTTGCTCATGATATGCTGAATTTTTCGACAGGTGTATTGCACTTTGACTATCACATTTAAAAGTGATACTTCGACCTTAAAGTTTCAGCTCCTTAGAAAAATCTTCATGCCATAATGCTTTTTTCACAACTTCAATGAGGAAAATATACTCCGCTCAATAGTTGATAAGACAACAACCTTCTAAAGTGTTGTTTTCCAACTGCTTGTTGTGCCAAAAATAGCGAACACATAGATTTTATAGAATTCATACAACCTACATAATCAAAGTCGACAAATTCATCGATTTCAAATTTACTATCATCACCACATGCTCCACCATAAATCAGAACTCTACTCAGAGATCCATTTATGTATCTTAGAATCCACTTCAATGCTTTCCAGTGCGCTTTTTCAGGATTGGGCATATATTTACTTACAAGGCTCATTCCGTACGCTATGTCTGGCCTCGTACAGACCATAACATGCATCAAAGAAACCTACTATACTAGCATATGGAATGCTATTCATATAGGCTCTTTCGACTTCAGTACTAGGATTTTGAATCATACTTAGCTTGTACTAAGGACTAGTCGGTGTTAGAACAAACTTTTGAATTCGACATATCAAACTTGTTGAGAATCTTCTTCAGGTATATCTCTTGTGATAAGTGTTAGACTATAGACTTCGGTCTAGAGTGGTGGTGGTGGTGGTGGTGGGGGGGGGGGGGGGGGGGTGAATAGATCACAAATTTTACAACCAAATATTTTTTGGCAAAAATCAGTTTTCAAAATATGGTGCATAAAAAAAAGACCCGAACAAAATCGTCTAACCAAATCTACTATCGAAAAGAAATATACGTATTGCAAACCAAACGGGGTGATAACGAACATAAATGTTCAACAACAATCAAGCTACAAATCAATTAAATCCAATGCTAATCATAACTCGCATGTTCAATGAACCAAAAAACACAAACAAAATACACACAAATAATTTATGAATATTTGATGTATGATCGATAACAGTTAGAAATATAGTTTGTTTTGTTGATGTTAAAACCTATCAAAATCAAAGTGATCGTGATTATATCAACAACAAAACCTTTAAAAGATAGTAGAAAATAATTTTCAATCGAATTGATCAAATAACGACAAACTCGATAAATTGCATAATCAACAATAAAAGAGATAAAGAGGTGGAGAGAGAGAGAGAGAGAGAGAGAGAGAGAGAGAGAGAGAGAGAGAGAGAGAGAGAGAGAGAGAGAGAGAGAGAGAGAGAGAGAGAGAGAGAGAGAGAGAGAGAGAGAGAGAGAGAGAGAGAGAGAGAGGCCAAGATTTGTTTAGGCAGTTCCCCAATCAGCCTCGCTATGGGTACGTTTTCCCTCAAATCAAAATTGAATTGAGATATTGCTATTAACCTTTTCTTTGCAAAAATGTTTATATAAGAGATGAAGAATGCAAACCCCAAAAACCCTATTGTTTTATGTTGATTCTTCCACCTCCAAACCCTTGATCAAAGCTTGATAAAGTGACCAATAATGTGGCTACAATCCTCCGATTATCCTGAGCATGCAACTTATTAAAACCAGAGATTCCCAAACATAATTCATTGTCTCGCACTACTCCCTTGCAAGGAAACCGCCTTGTCTCAAGGAATTCACTCGGTCGAATCTATGTTGATGTGATCCTGTCCAAAACCTTCAAATTAACCTGATCTTGAAGAAAAACCCTACTTTGGTTTTCTTATTTGAAACACACAAAGCCCCCGACCCAATATTCTCGGTTACACCAAACCTAATTGGACGTTATCAAC